CAAAGTGGACGCTGTGATGAGGTAATGCCCTCATCGCCGTCTTTGCCGTTGCCTCCCCCAGAACCGCCACCTACATCTATCATCGGCGGTGCTGGGGCTGAGTCTGTGGTGTCGGTGGCACGTGCATATATGGATGAGGCAAGCACTGAACGTGAACAACGAGAAAGAAGGCTGAAGGGAACGGAATTCAACAAAGAAAGTAACACAATCAACATTCAAAGACCTAGACGATCAACGGCTAATTATTCAATGAATTATTACAGTACTGGAGATCAAGCACCGGCGAGGACACTGGGAACACAAGATTCAACAACAACAACAACAATGGTAACAATTTACCATCAAGATCAAAGGAGGAGTCAACGAACAGAGGTTAAACAACATGAAGCGAGCCTGGGACCGATCGGTGTTGATGAGGAGAATGACACGGAGGATGACACTGACGATGAGTTGGGAGATGAGACGGAGGATGAGGTTGCGGTTGTTGGAGACGAGGAATCAGATGGTGATTGTGATCGTAAGAAGTCTGCCGTTTTTCTTCAATTGTTGTCTCACCATAAGTGTCTGCAGGTGTATGATGATTTTAGTTTTTCTGTTCTTTGTCGTGCACGGTATGCTATTCAGTTGAAAGTACTTGAAGCTGTTTGTATTCGTTTGCATAAGCCTGATCTTTGTAAGCAAAAGAAACATGTAGTTGCGTTTAAATTGTTTTCGTAGGTGCACAGCATGATTGTTTGTCTCACTACACAGTTTTAGCGTTATAATTATTAGTTTCTCACCCGCCGTTGCACTTAGCTCTCACTTCACTTCTATTGTCTCACCTTCCCTCATTCTACTTTGGCACTGTATTTTGTTCTCGTAACACATCATTGAATGTATATTTAATCATTGTTCAGCATGGTTACTCTTTAGTCACGACTTTCCACTGATGAATGTGACAAGAAAATTAATTCTGGTAAACTTTCATGACTTCGTTGTAGTGTGGCGATGACTGCAGAATTTGTTCTCTTTATTGCTATTATAAAATAATAATAATAATAATATAATATGTGTGAGTTACGAAGTCTGAAGAAAATGTTGAAGGGTCTCTGCTGGGATGACGACTACACCATAGCTCAGTGGTTAGAGCATCGCTGACTTCAAGCGAGGGTCCCTGGTTCGAGTCCTGGTGGTGACAGTCAATATTTTTTTTAAAGACTTTTCCCGTTTGTCTCATTCCCTCAAACCAGTTAATACAGTTATTTATTACAGGGTGCGACAGAGCTCTCGGCCATGGAAGAAAATGTTGAGTCACCTCCACCACTACACTGCGCTCTTTACCCGACTAGACCCTCCTGCACACAACCATCACCATTGCGAGGACACTTCCGTGGACGATATTGATAAACTCCTTCAGACAGCTGTTTCGCTGATACATACCGTATTTTCCGGGGTATAAGCCGCACCGGGGTATAAGCCGCACCGGGATATAAGCCGCACCGGGGTATAAGCCGCACCCCCTTTTGGAGGCAAAATATTGACTAAAAGTTGGTATTCGGAGTATAAGCCGCACCCACAAACCAAGATTTTTCACACTCATTGACAAATGGCCTTTCTACAAATGCATTATGGTTATGGAGCTAAATACCATTTTTTACCGATTTTGGTCCAATTTTTAGCAAAAAAAGTGCGGCTTATACCCCGGAAAATACGGTAGCTCATCAGTGAAGGTAGATGTTGAATGATTAAAAATATAGACCAAACTGCTATTATATAGGGGTTTCCACACACAAAACGGGCATATATGAGGTCATAACGCGGCTAAAGAGCGCAGTGTAATGGTGGAGGTGACTCAAATAATAATAATAATATTATAAATGTAATCAACGCAATAAATAGAGTAAGCTGCGCACTCAGTAAATGAGTAAAAACACCATTAGCAAAACTTGTTTTCATGTAAATAACGAAGCTTGTTCCTAAACTTGTTCTATTTACATGAAAACAAGTTTTGCTAATGGTGTTTGTACTGAGTGCGCAGCTTACTCTATTTATTGCGTTGATTACATTTTTATCTCCACGTAAGCTTTTTAAATATTATAAATCATAATAATTCTCTCTAAGAGTTGGTGGACAAGCCGTTGATTATTCACTCTCATTGTAATATCAAAAAGTATTCTTTCTAGACCAAAGAGTGGTATATTTGATAACATTTAATAACGATAGAAATTTTTACGATACTTCTCCAGACGTTTCGTTGTTCTGAACAACATCGTCAGTGGATAAAGACTGACGATGTTGTTCAGAACAACGAAACGTCTGGAGAAGTATCGTAAAAATTTCTATCGTTATTAAATGTTATCAAATATACCACTCTTTGGTCTAGAAAGAATACTTTTTGATATAATTCTCTCTGCACACAAACCACACAACTACCCAATATAAGGGTACACAAGCAAAATGCAAGTGAGATAATGCATGTAACCTCGTTAGTTAGTGTACGGCAGGGAGGGCCTCATGGCTTGTTTGTGCCCCTCAGGTTAGCCCTCGGGCCTACCGCCCTCAGGCCAGCCTGTCGGGAACTAACAAGCCATAAGGCCCTTTCCTGCCATGCACTAACCAATAAATAAGGCCCTCCCTGCCATGCCCAAACCTATAACATTTAATAAAACAATCAGACCCTGTACCTCCCGGTTAATATCCATCTAGCTGTTTCTGGCTAGTACCAGTTCTACCGCACTTCATCCTTATTGGCGTGACGTCATCGTTGATTAAAAGAATACTAACTGTACTATCCTGAAGAGAAGGGAAAGAAAACGTTTAATAGATAAAAGAAGGTATCTTCTTGACTGTGCGTTAGCCCTTGGTGGATTATGCCGGCATAATATTTGGCATAATCTAGGGATTTCGCCAAAAAATTAAGCTCCGGCATAATATACGGATTCCAACGTGTAAGGTCGGCAAAATCTTTCGGTTTAGAGAAATATTATGCTTAGGGGCTTAATACAGCTTTCTCAGAAAGCCTCCAGATGTTTTTATTTTTTAATACTACATTGTAGCTTTGTCAGAAAGCCTGCAGATGTTTTTTTTAATACCCAGTTACGACTCCTTGTCATAGCCCTTGGCAGATTATGCCGGCATAATATTTGGCATAATCTTGGGATTTCGTCAAAACATTATGCTCCGGCATAATATACGGATTCCAACGTGTAAGGTTGGCTAATCTTTCGGTTTAGACAAAAATTATGCTTAGGGCATGGCCGTGTGTGTCTGCGTGGTTTCTCAAACCTCTATGTACAGCGTGAATACAGTCATATTGGAACCGAGCATAATTCAGCATATTTGTTGGCATAATTGTGGCATAATCAAAAGCATAATTTGACGATTGGCCGAGCATAGTCCGCCAATGGCTACTGTGCGTATTCGCGTCTTCAGTTTGGATGCGAAGGTATAGATTGCGAAACTATTTTCACCGCCTCCGAACTAGCACTTGAAAACAATAAGAGGACAAAAAAGTGTTTTTACTCCGAGCTAACTCTGCCTCTGCCTCTCGTTACTGAGCACTCTCTTGGACAGCCTGGAACCTTTCTCTTTTACATACTTCAGTAGGTATAGTTTTAATATTGGCCGAGTTTTGAGATGTTGCAATAAATATAAACTATAGCAAACAATTTATGGAGGTCAGTACTAAGCCTCTAAGGGAGTGTTGATCATGTACATTGTGGAATCCAAGTTCAATTATTGGTGTAGTATCCCTGCTTTACAGTTTACACATGACTAGTAGTACATGTATTTTGCATGACTCTTATTGTTTAGAAGCATACAGTACTTCCTACATTTACGATTGTTCTTCCATGATCCTTGCATGGCGCCACTACACACTGGAGAGTAGCTAGACCAACACTAATTATCAGTAGTCTTCATTGTTTCCAAAATACAATACTTGTGCCGCTATGCCTCATTTGCAAGAGGTCCTTGTGCAGTTGTATGGACTTATCTTCACTGCGATATCAGTTTCATGCTCCAATGCTTCCTTTGTAGCACTGAGGCGTGCTGCGATTAATCAATGGCATTTCCAGATTGCTTGCTACACTATCACATACTCTCTGTAGCTGTTTTGCTGCCTGCTGCTTGTTTCCCGCAATAGACCCCAGCTGAAGCTTCCTAGCTGGCCCCCTTGCCAACGGCCTTGTTAGATTCTGTATAAGTTCTCTAGTTTGTATCTCATACGTGGTTGATTGAGTAGAGGCCTTGCTGGAGAACAGTTGGGTTGATTGAGAGCAAGTTCACTTTAGGAATATTTGATAATAAGATAACCTCCAGGCCGTGCCGGAGTAAGTTCTGAAATGTTCGTTGACTGACTGTGGGTAGTTGCCTCCTTGCCTTAGACCACGCACACTACATTGGCTCTGGTTAGGTTTCGTGAAACTTGAACTTACGGCTAATCAAACCTTCATTGTTCGCAATTCAAACATTAATGGTATTTTGGCAGCCGGGGCCGAGTCATAATTATCTAGACCATGATATCTCATGGCAGCAATCATTTTTTAGTTCAGGCTCACAATGCAGATCTTCGCACACGCATGACGAAGAACAGAGCATCTGTCAATGATGTATAGAATCACGCGACTAAACCGCCAGAGCAGGCAAGCGCTGTGCGTGTCAGTGGCCAGACACGATCTTCGCTCATTTCGCAATGTTTGGCACAAGCCGGGCCTTGAACACTCCAGTACAGTCTACCGCATACGTCTAGCATTGTTCCAAGTTTCAAATACTAAATAAGGGCATAGCTCCAAGTACTGCACATGATACTGGTACATGTGCTGTACCTGATGGTACCTTTAGACAAGTACATGTAGTTGGCGTCCCGGGCCGCGTTCGATGACGTACTGCGGCGTGTGTATGTTAGTTTAGGGCGGGAAAGCCTACCTTCATAATCATGTAAATCGATTGGTTTCTCCAAGGATAATCGGTCCCATTGCAATAGTCAGTACTGCACGCTCCACAGCACACTACTCCATTCCACTGCATCGCCTATGTACACGTACATGCTCATGTTGTGAAGCCCCACTGCTGTGCGCTTCTTTCACTATCCCCTCAGTAGCAGCAATTTTTTTCTTTTCAGGCCACTGGCAAGGGCCTCGTCGCAATGATCGTCTCAGCACGGTGATATCTGAGACGTACGGTATTAGGGGATTGGAGGATGAGGCTATCCCTTCTCGCCGCGCTCCTCCTTCTGGGAGGTACGCTGGCTGTGTCGGTGAATGAGGATGACGAGGCCGCAGACGATGGCCTGAACGCGCAGGAGTACGCAGAGTTGCTGGCCTTCGCTATTGACGGAAATGAACAGGAGATCCGAGCAAGCCAACGTGGACTAAACGATGAAGACGCACAGGAAATTACTGAACTTGATGACGATGAGGGTGACGCACAACATAGTCGTGGCGGTGAGAATGAACTAAGCGAGGAAACCGAGTCTACTGATGTTGATGCGGAGGAGTCTGACGAAGACGCCGAGCGAGTAGATCGAATTGTGTCTATCCTAAGTGAGGAGAATGCGAACGAAGAAAATGAGGGCACTGGCGATGCTAGTGATGATGAGGACGATGACGATGATGGTGCTGCTAGTGAGCTAAGAGAAACAGATCGGGACTCAGCGACAGTTGATCAGGCTCTGAACAATCGTGAGGCGAACTTCTTCTTCTGGAGGCGCAGACGCAGACGTCGCACAAGCCCTCCCAAGCCCAAGCCCAGGTCAGTAGCCCCACGTCCGGAGCATCCACGCGGTATACCACCCTTGGCAACTGGATCACCGAGTCGCCAAGCACGAAGTCACAACAGCAGAATCCGACTCGGACGAGATGGCGGTACCCGGGGCTTTTCCTATGATCCCCGTAATCCTCCACCCAGGAATAGCTACAGCAGTCGACGTCGCAGACGGAGACGTCGCCGTCGCCGTCGTCGTTGGTAAGACGCAGGTAGACTGGTCCGAGAGGCTAGAATAAGGTAGACTGGTAGACTGGTCCGAGAGGCTGGGACCAAATCCTGGATTTGGTAACTACCACTTTCCAAAAGATAAATGCCCACAGATTCACATATGAATGGAGATGGGAAAGGGACAGCCAACCATAGATTTTTGCGCGTACATGTCCATTCGTTTAAGGAGATCTTTTTACAAGAATCTATTTTTTGTTCCTGGACAATTCACAGTAGTAGGGCAGCGTTTTCGTCCACAAGGGGAAATGTCCTGGTACTGTGCATTCAGCTATCACAGTCACTACGCACCCACTATACGCTCTCCTGTCTTTTCTAGCGTACACTCAACACGTTGTTTTCCAATTTAAAATACTTCAAAGTAGCAATTACTATTTTTGTAAAATTATTAGTGTTGCAAAAGCCTTTGGTAACCGCTGTGTGTTCAGCATTGCTGTGGTGGATCGTTCTTATCAGTCAGTACTGCTCTTCTTATGGTACTGTCTGATGTTCCATTGGATAAATTATTAATGCGTGGGTTTCCCCACCTGCAACAAAGGACCAGTATAGTGAACGGTCCACGGCGAGTGGAATCGAAGATTTCAAGTCGATGGATGTCCTGAGCGGCAAGGGTGCAGCTTGCATCGTGCACTGCCTGCATGCACTCATTCATCTGCCTGGATGTTTTTGGTTGGCCAAGGGACGCGTCAGTCTTGCAATTGATTTGATCACCCTGAAACCTGTGTATCGTGGCAAAATACTGCAATGTGTTAAGTGTGTCGTATTGCTACCATGTAGCCCAAACCCTAGAGCTGCATGTGCATGTACAGACACAGATTGTGTGCAATGTACATGTATATGCAACGGTTGGTTTGGGTACGAACCACACTTTCTACTAGGTGATAGAAACGGGTTTACCAGTAATGCCAAAGCCAGTCGTGTGAAACCATAAAATAGGAGCCAAAGGAAAACGACAGTCCATTGCTATTAGGCATTATGCCCTGTTTTGATTTCCACTACTGTAAATAAAGTGTACAACCCACTGCTGGTATAACTGAGAAAAATACGGACATGAGCCTTACCGAGCAGCTGGGTCTTGCGCAAGTGTGGAAAAATTGCAAGCGAATATACATTGCACTCGTACATTCTTGCCGAACAAAATCCGCTCTCAAGATTATGGTAGCTACGTGGACTAACAGATAGCCCCTCATTTGCAGGGAAAGGTCTGACTGACGGTGACGTATGTCATTTAGGAATATGAAGGTAATCCTTTATACCTGTGCCCTGTAGATCCTGAAGACAAGCGAAATCTTCTGTTTGTTCTGTTCTCTTTCTGTTGTACCCGATCTCCCTCTGATGTACCGCTGACTCTACGCTGAAGATCTAAGCATTTTAATTCTCATTCTCATTATAATTTTCATATTCGCTTTCGTGTTATTGGGTTCTATGCCCGTTTGAATTTGCGAATCAAAATAAATACAAACAAACAAACAAGTAGTGCAGATGGAATACAGACTGGGTGTAAGATTTATCTAATGTACATACAGTAAAAACTGTCAAGGCGACCACTCGGATAAGGCGACCACCTGCCCTAGACGACCACTGGGATAAGGCGACCACCTGCCCTAGACGACCACTGAAACCAGCACCAAGGAATGCTATGTTCCAGTGAAATGACCCTGGATAAGGCGTACAGGTTTCACTGACTCTGTACATGTACAGGTCAAGAGGCGCAGTGTCATTGTACCGACACAAACTAGCGAATCCAGTAAGGCATTCGGAAAAAATGTTTCCTTTTCTATGAGATCATTGTTTTTTAGCTATGACCGTCAGCTCATGCGCATGCTGGTCACGTTTTGGCGATCTTCACCTTCACAACATACATGCATATACTCAGTACGCAGATCAAGGCGGCAAGATTCCTCAACTGCGATGCCAAAGCAGCTATAGTCTCTAGGCCATCGCCGTGTGCAGGGGCAGCTGAACTCTTCCATAGTTTCCATCTAGGATTTTCCGTGAAGTAGGAGAAATAATGGTGAGGGCGTTCAGGTAGTGAACACGCTGTACTACTATGAGATTACCTGTGATAGCTGCAGTCCTTCTGCTGGGAGCAGTGATACTACCAGCGAATGATTGCAGGGCATACGCTGATGAGGAGGATAGCCTTGACGCCTTCGAGGAGGCGAAATTACTCAGAGCCGCGTCAGAAACCAGCGAACATGAAACCAACGCTGCCGAGAATGAATGGCTTGATGATATGCGAGACGAGGAAGAATATGCAGAGCAAATACGTGCAAGTGAGGATGAGTCGATTGAGGCATCCTTGAATGCAGATGCTGATGGTGATGAAGCAGAGTTGGACGAAGACGATGAACGTGTTGAGGAGATCATTTCCCTGATTCAAGAGGGAGATCAGGATGATGACGAAGACCAGGATGATGACGATGAAGCTGATGAGGATGACGATGCATACAGCAAGTCGGCACAGCTAGCAGAAAGTGCCAGCCAAGTTCTTAACAACGGCGAAGCAAATAAATGGTTTTGGAGTCGAAGGCGAAGACGCACAGTTGTTGTCAAGCCCAGGCCGCGTCCAACAGAAGCGCCCAAAGACCCCCAGCCCATGGGTAATATTGTACCAAAGGCTGGTAGGATCACCGCTCGTATTGTCGTGAGGACAATGCACGGCTCTCGAACGCACGCGGGATATGGTGGTTGGCGTGGCGGACACGTAGTTAGCACTCGCCGACGCCGCAGACGCCGTCGCTGGGGCTGAGACACTGACAACAGAAGATACTATACCGTGTGTCTATATCCGATGATTCGTTTTATGTAATGGTGTTGATGCTTCACAAATGTGTTTTTTTGCCTGTACAAGAGACTGAAGGAGTTCATTCCTAAAACACTCTTTTTTTTAAATCCAGAGTGTATGCTATAACATGAAGTACGCAAACTTGCTTTTAAAACAAAACTTGTGGAAATATTGCGATTTTGACTCAATGAACCGGCAGTACCTGACTGTAGTGCACGACTGCGTAGTGTCCTAATAGATGAACAGGAACAATCACCACTAATTATATCTCTCCTTGAGCAAGCCTCGAATCGATTGTTTCTTGGTGGGGCTGAGGAAGCTTGAACAAAGACTATCACATGAATAACGTTATGTAGCTACATGATTGTACAGGTACAGGTGGCCCAAGACTCTCATGTACAGGTGGCCCAAGGCACTCACCAGACACTTCCGCCAGACGCCAGATTCATTCTCAGCACTACAGATTTCTGCGAAACTCTCAATCACGCAACACATATCCAAAAACCTGATACGTGTGCAGACAGTTGCTGTGCTGAATACCGGTATCACAACCAGTATAACAACCGGTATCACAACCAGATTATGCCCATGCTAGTAACCATAGGTCTGGATTATACTGTCATCAAGTCGTGACGTGCTCTGACGTTGAAATTACTCCAATACAATTATTGTATGTCTGGACATGATTGTACGCACGGTGTGCTGGTGCTGGATTTCAACTACAATACAATGTACATGTAGATCACACCAGACCCATGACTTCGGTCTGTACAGTGGATGACCACCGGATTTTTAGACGTGGTCAGAATGGAAAGAAGTGAGTCACGAATCTATGGACGACGATGGTCTCACACAATACCTAGGCTATGGGTCCATACATGGTAGTCCATGTAGTGACATGTGTCTGGGCTGAACCCTGTAGTCAGCGACCACAGCACCCTAACGGGTAAACTAAAAAATCTGCAGAATCTGCTCATGGTAGACAGAGCTAGAGATGTATAATGACGAGCTGTGCTCTTCAGGTCGCCCGTCAGTTCTGTACACGCCAGACACAGAGAGGGATTCCTACAGTACGCGTATAATACATTTCCTTGGATCATCATACCGTATATAGCATCAGTTTGAATCAGTACGTGTGCTAGATACTATCGGGCACTGGACCGCTGTTACCAATACAGCTGACGGCATCATCAGCTTGCACATTCATTGCCTGAAGCCTCACAGGGGCCAATATAGCGGACGGAGTGGTGATCGAATATCTGCGCCAGCCCCAAAGAGAGTTGGCCAGGATATTAGATCTGTCTTCATCGCACTTTGAAGAGATCGTCTTCTCTTCGTTGGAGAATAATTGGAGCAGCTCATTGAATGACTACTATCCTGAGTGAAGTATGAGGGTCGTGAGTGTCAGTACTGTACTGCTGCTAGTGAGCCTGCTCGCTGCAGCAGCTCTAGCTAGTGATGCAAGTGATCGACAGGGGCGAGCAAAGAACAGGGTAAGAGCTGTGGAGGAGCTGCTGAGAGAATTGGCCGAACGGGATGATGCGGATGATGATGATGATGACGTGAGTAATGGAGAAGCTCTTTATCAGGGATTGAGGGAAAGCTATGGCCTTGATCAAGATGACTATGGCGATGATGAGGATGACGACGATCAGTGGCATGAGCGTGAGAGTGGAAATACCAAACACCTCAGGCGAGAGAACGCAGTAGAGGATGACGATGATCATGACGATGACGATGATGACAGCGACGATGATGATGATGATGAACGATTTGGTGAATTGCGCAAGCGTGTAAAGGCAGAGCCATTTATTATTCATAGATTTGCACCACGGGTGGGCCCCAAGCTGCCTGCCGCGGAACCGTTCTTGATTCACCAACCTCCTGCTTATCCCCGGCCACGCGACCCGCCAAGGCCCACTCCGACTTCTGCAGCCATGACGTCACCGCCAGAAGAACCCACTGTTGAAACAAAGCGTCGCCGTGGAAGTCGCCGTGGAAGTCGCCGTAGAAGAAGTGTGAGGCGCCTCCGTACACGTCCTACCAGCCGTAGATATGCACAACGCCGTAGGCGGCTGATTCGCCGGCGTAGGGCAGGGTGATCGACCCTCATATTAGGCCCATTGGATCCTGTGAGCAGATATGGGTAAATACTAAATAGAGAACAAATCTGTCACCCAAGGACGGTCTTTCCATGAAAGAAACGGAACGGCAAGTTCATTTTGTCTGATTTAGCACTTTTGCACGTAGTTTAGACTCGTGAACCGTTGCTGCGAATTGCCTAATGATTATAACCTACTGAACACAGAATACATAGTTCTTAGTTCTTACCCAATAGAAATTAACCTGCTGTCACTGCCATTGCTCCATGGCTTCCCCGTAATATTACTAATAATGACATCTTTGTGCGTGTGTATTCTTGTCCTCTGAATCCCGCCTCCTCATCCAGGACATTGAGCGTAGGTTTCACTACACAATTTGCCTCTTCGAACATACATGTACATGTACACACTCGTACATGTACATGACTATATTGTATTTATGGAGGGGATCTAAGGAGATGTAGCAGTGCTGCTGCTGTTGTCTCCTTCTCCAGACGAACACCTATGGATCAAAGCACACTGTACCCTGATTTCCTGGTCTCTGCTGGTATCTTTTGCTGCTGTTCTTTGCACTCTCTTTATCGCCAGAAAACGATAAATCTCCTTTCACACTACATGGATAATAATTATACCAAGTAAATTATTAAATGGCTCTCATTCTTCGGTCGGTAAAATGGAAACATAATGATTTGTGATAGTCTCTATCACATGACGGTGACCAGTAGTTTGGAATGTGCTCAATGATGTCTTGTCTTGTCTTGTCTTGTTTGTCGTCGTCCAACCTTTCACCGCTCGTGTGAGACTGAGAGCAATTTGCAGCCACACGAAACACGAAACACACTTAGCAGCAGCGCCACGAGCATCACCAATGTGAGACGGCTAGGAAGGAAAGCATAGCGAAAGGCAGCACTGACAACAGAAGAGACTATACCACATGTATGCTTTTTCATGTTCATCTTCTCGACATCATTGCACGGACTGTTTGCTAGTGCTGTATTTCAACGCCAACACAATGTACAATCATACATGTACATGTACCCATGATTTTGGCCTGCACTGTAGTGTGCTGTAGTGAACAGCAACAGTTGTTTCGACGTCATCAGACTGGACAGTGGGTCACTTAAAGTCTTTATCTAAGATCTCGCACATGACATGTGCCATGGGTCACTACATTGTAGCACTAAGTAGTGACATGTGTCTGGACGCAAACCTGTCGTCAGCGACCACACCATCCTCTAGCTCTAGGGTAAAGACTGCAGATGATCGCCCATGGTAGCCAGAGAAGTACGATGATGAGTAACGGGTGCTCTCCTCAGGTTGTTCGTCAGTTATGTGTGTCGCCAGACAGAGAGAGAGAGAGAGTGGATTTCCTACAGTACATGTATAATGCAGTATTTTCACCTGATCATCATGCTATCCCGTAGCATCAGTTTGAATCAGTACGTGTGCTACAGACTGTCAGACCCTGGATATGGATTGCTGCTACCGATAAAACTGACGGTACCATCAGCGTGCACATTCGTTGCCTGAAGCCTGAAAGGCGCCAACATACATAATATAGCGCAGCGATTGCTCGTATGCATGAATCTTGGCAGTGGTGATCGAATATCTGCGCCAGCCCCAAAGAGAGCTGGCCAGGAAAGCAGAGCTGTCTTCGCCACACCTAGAAGAGACCGTCTCCTCTTGGGTGGAGAATTATTGGAGCAGCTCATTCAATGAATGGGATCCTGGGTAAAGTATGAGGGTGGTTAGTGTCAGTACTGTACTGCTGCTAGTGAGCCTGCTGTCTGCCGTCGCTCTAGCTAGTGATGGGAGTGATCAACAGGGGCGAGCAAAGAACGGGCAAAGAGCTGTGGAGGAGCTGCTGAGAGAATTGGCCGAAGGGGATGATGCGGATGATGATAATGATGATGATGATGTTGACGTGAGTGACGGAGAAGCTCTGTATCACGCATCGAAGGAAAGCTATGGCCGTGATCAAGAAAAATTTGGCGATGATGAGGATGATGGTGATCAGTGGCGGACGCGTGAGAGTGGAAATACCGAATACCTTGACGATGATCACGATGAAGACGATGGTGACAGCGACGATGATTACAAACGACTTGGTGAATTTCGGAAGCGTTTAAAGGCACTGCCATTTATTATTCATAGATTTGCACCACCGGTTGCCGTCACGCTGCCCAGAATTTCTCTGGAGAAGTTCATTTTTCACCAACCTACTGACTTTCCCAAACCGTTACCTTTAATTGCCACTCCGGCTCCTCCAACCAATCCACCATCTAGCCAAGCCGCCGTGGGAACGGTTCAAACAACCCAAAACCAGCTAACCCAGAACCCCACAACGAACCAAGCCATAACGTCACCGCAAGAAGAAATCATTGTTCAAACTGAGCCCCGAATTTTACCGCGCGTGCAGACCATGGAAGAGGCAACACCTGCTCCCACCAGACCCCAGCAGTCGTCACCTGCACGCGTACCCGCCTCCGTACCTGCTACACGAGTACGAGTGCTTACACCACAACCACAAACACCTCCAGAGCAATCAGTGACTTTTCAAAAAATGGAACGGAATCGCCCTACAATGGTTGCCGCTAGTCGGACGGACGCGGTCACAACTCCAGCACCTCAACCTAACACTTCAGCACAACAGCGACGCTTTGCCCCAAGACGGCGATACGTCAGACGACGGGGAAGATACGTGAGACGACGGGGAAGGTACGTGAGACGACGGGGAAGATACGTGAGACGACGGGGAAGGTACGTGAGACGCCGGAGTAGATACATTGGTCGCCGCAGGTGGCTGCGCCCACGCCGCAGGTGGCTGTTTCCTCGTAGGAGAATTGTGCGGCACCGCCGTAGACATGCCATCCGTCGTAGATATGCCAGCCGCCGTAGGTATGTCAGCCGCCGTAGGTATGTCAGCCGCCGTAGATGGCTGAGTCGTCGGCGTAGATGGCTGAGTCGTCGGCGTAGATCCGTGACCAGTCGTCGAAGGCGAAAGAGTGGCTGATCGACACGTATATAAGGCCCATAGGATCTTGTCAGTAAATATTCTTAACAAAGGGTTAAATAGAGTACATCTATTTCACGGCCGAGGTCTTGGCATGAACTAAAGAACTGCGAGTTCTTTTTTCTCATTTAGCACCTCGGCACGTAGCTTAGACTAGTGAAACGTTGTTGCGAATTGCCAATGATTATTATAACATACTGAAGGCAGGACACCTCCTTCCTTCAAATTAACCTCCTCTCACTTAGTCAAAGATCATGTTCCATGGCTTGCCCCTGTTATTCACATAGCTGTGCTGCGCGTACGTATTGAAGCAGAAATGGCGATCTGACGCTGCCGGGGACATCCACAAGCGTTCAGCATGTCTCCTCTATTTCGCTCATGAATGCTGCTCGGTGTTTTTCTCTAATACAGCTTATCTTTGCATACTGCCCTAAGGAAATTTACAGCTGACCATGCTTATGCAATCAACGGAATTCCGCCACCTTGCAGTTGATTTTCCCCATTTCTCTCCTCATCAATCCCTACTTGTCTTTGTACATACATCTACATGTACTAGTAGTAGTACTGTTCTTAGTAGTACTGTTCTTTCAATCAAATGAACCCCTCGATAGGCACATTGCCTTTGGGTCATTTCATAATAATAATAATACACTCGGTGAGCAATATATACGACTGTATTGTATTTGTATTGCTTTTACCGAAGGATGTACCCAGAGTGCTGACAGTGCTCAACACCACAAAGGCAGAGCGTAATACACAACAGAACAACAAGGACAATCAAGGCTTGTTTGCTGCTACTTTAAGTTTCATGCTTACGCAATCATCAGGCAACATGAAGATCGGGTGCCGACCATGCCGGTATATATGCCAGGAGAGGGTGGTATAAAAAGCTGTGTGAGACTGTGGGGGCTAGCGCAGTAGCGGTGGTGTTTAGGCAGGGGCTGTGTGCAGAGTGTGTGGTTGTTGAAGGCAGGGGCTAGCAGTGCAGCCATATCCATTTACATTGTGCTATTATCACACTGCTAGCTCTACAGCCTCCTGCCTACAACATCCACACGCATTGTTCACCACCTCCTGCCCACACCAGCCACACACTCCGCGCTAACACTGCACTGCTAGCCCCTGCCTTCAACAACCACACACTCTGCACGCAGCCCCTGCCTAAAACACCACCGCTACTGCGCTAGCCCCCACAGTCTCACACAGCTTTTTATACCACCCTCTCCTGGCATATATACCGGCATGGTCGGCACCCGATCTTCATGTTGCCTGATGATTGCGTAAGCATGAAACTTAAAGTAGCAGCAAACAAGCCTTGATTGTCCTTGTTGTTCTGTTGTGTATTGCTTTTATTAATTTTTACATCGCAAGTCAAACGGGCTATCATGCCCAATGTTATGATGACGCGGGAAAGGGAGAAAAGATTAAGCACAAGAAACAAGATTAGATAACCTGGATTAAGGGGAGTGAAGAAAACAGTGAATCGGGGATCTCTCCTTAGATCATCTTAACATTGGTCATGAAAGTTCACTTTCAATGGACGTGAGAATTGAGATGTGCTAGGGCAGGACAACTAGAGGGGAATACTAGGCTGTGAGATTCCGAAGTACATGTATTTTGTGTTTGTTTTATGTAATGCATTGCAAATCCAACAGACAATCATCCCCAAACAGATAAAATATAGGATAACCTGGATAGTTGAACTGGGTTCTTCATCATAACCTGGATAGGTGGAGTAAAGAACGCAGTGAGTCTAGAGAACTCTCGGGATAGGGAACATGCTACGTTAGCATTAGCCATGAAAGTAAACTTTCAATAGACGCTTGAATGGGCATGAGGTACGGCAGCACTTTAAGGAGGGGAGGCAAAAGATTCCACAACTTAGCAGCAGCAAATACTGGTCAGTGAGATCCCGAAGTACGGTGGATATTGGGAAGGGGCAGATTGCAGGCATCTTGACCTCTGGTGGCACGGGGCAGCGAACTGTATTCTAGGCGTGATTTGAGCAGCAAACTGACATTGCCGTGAAGAATACGGTGCATGAAAAGCCTCAACTTGCAATCCGCCCGCTCGACAGCCGGACAGATGCCGAGTTCGGCATACAGCTGCATAGTGTGGGCACGTGCTGGGTTGTGATACAGCAGATGCAGCGCTTATCCAGTCTGATGAGGATCTGTTTGAGGCTTGCTGAAAGTCTGGTGAAGTAGGCGTTCGAAGCGTAGAGTAGGTCAGGTAGGATAAGAGCTGTGTAGTAAAGGAGGGACTGCACACGGATGATGTCTGCTCTGATGTGGCGCAAGACTCGGAGTTTGTAGGACACTTTCTTCACTACGGCAGCCACTTGACCTGCCCCGCTCAAAGCGCTCGTCCAGATAAATACCAAGGTATTTGGCTGTGCTGGTTTGAGCCAGAGGAGTGGCACGACATGTAACTGCAAGCTCTAGTCTGTTCCAGCGGAGATGCCCAGAACCTGGGTTTTCTGCACTCTACATGTACTCAATCTGCGGACAGATTTGCCAATAGCATCCCTGTAGTATATATTTGGGTCTGTCGTTTTACTCAGGAATACCTTTCTAAGGTCACTTCTTTGCGGAGGCACTACTCCGAACTGATAACACTGCTCTTATAGAATGCACTAGGACGGTGGCTCATGACCCTGAGACTACTTCTTATCCCTGGTAAAGCCCACATATGTTGAGTACGAACAGGACGACTACATATTCTCCAGACATTACGGGCAACGGGAACAGGTTAGGTCGAACAACATAATATATTAGGGAGACGAAGAGACAGAGACCAAGACGAACGAAACGACTACATTGTGGAAGCGAAACAAGAGAGATAGAGATCAAGTCAGAACGGCAGGATAAAGGGCCTGGGTAGCTATGGCAAATCTGGGCGCGCATGTAGCTACCCAGACGAACGGAACAAAAGGTGACAAAAGGAGACAAAAGGTGAGGCGACGTAGTATGGGGTGCATGCAGGCCAGCTTGGAAACGGTTGTACGGGAGGAGGTACCTAACAGAATGCACTACAATACTAGCACGGTGGCTCATGACCCTACGACTATTCAGTACTTATTCTCCCTGGTAAAGCCCCAGGACAAGGATGCAGTTCTGGAGATGAGCAAAATGATATTCATGCACACTTCTTGGACTTTGGTGATTTCTCTTTCAAGGATCATTACTTTTCATAATGTCAATTTCTCATTCTCCTCATCTTCTTATTTCACTCTCACACGCAACTGCTTACCGCTATAAGCCTTGCCGTACTCGCGTAGAGCCCTGTCTTGAATAGTGCCCAGTCTCGAATAGTTCCTCCGTCTCAGATAGCCAATGAAAACATAAAGACTTCTCTTGACTAGTGCCCCTGGCTTTTAATCAAGCCCTTGTCCACGTTAGGTGCTGTTTGGCTAATGTTCTGGCCCATGGCACTGGTGGTTTCAGGATCACACATTCACAATTCGTGCTACAGCTTCTGTTGAGTTGTGATAATCTAGAATAACCTTTAGACTCCATTCTTCTCTCATTTCTTTGTGCGAATGCTGGCTGACGTAAATGTACCAGCATTGACAAAACTGAACTTGGATGGTGAGCCACTATAATTATGATGAAGAAAGGAAAAGGAAAAAATGTTACGAGTTGTGACAAACTGTCCACCAACGTAACCAGATCTTGTACAGTCAGCAGGTGCGTCAACATGGCACAAATGCCGAATGTCTCAGTACTCCTTGTCAGTTTTTGTGCCATTTTATCGCACTCGCTGACAGTATAAGATATGGTTACGTTCGTGGACAGTTTGTCATAACTCGTAACATGTTGTCCTTTTCCTTGATAATTGACAAAACTAGTACCATTTCTTGAATGTTGTCCACGTATGTTTGTTTATCTAAGAACTCAGAAAAACATTATAATATGGAAACATGTGGGCTCAAGATATGCCATCAAGTCCACCAAATAAACCAGATTATGGAAAGTCAGACGTGGACAATGTAGCACAAAGCTGACAAGGAGTTCTGAGACATTCCACAGAATGCAAGTCAGCTTGAGCACTTCTCAATACCGCTAACTAGCGGCCTTCCAACTTGGTAGGTTCATGGAGAAAGAGGCCCGTTTAATCCAACGCGCCACTCCGCTAATCAAGTATTATTTTCACATTCCGACTGACAGAGCGACTTAGCTGCATAACTCGCACAGCAGATGTACTTCATTACTCATTAAAGTCCAAGCAATGGGTACGCAATGACACAGTGTGAGCGAGGGGTGATAGCCAACCACGGCAAGAAAGAAAAGACTAATAGAAGTACGGAAATGGAGGGTTACCAAGCAGCCAGGTAGAAGAGAGCCCACTTCGCTTTGCCGGAGGCAGTAAGGAAAGCCTGCAGTAGAACACTTGTTCTACAATAGCATCACAGGCATGATATCAATATTAGCCGAGTACGTTGTGTACTTAGCAAAAATAATAATAATTAGCCTTTCTGGACAGTGACAGCTTGACAGTTGTCTCCGTACAGTGGATTGATTGTCATCTTGATGTCTTGTCATCATCATTCAACAAAACCATTGTAGCCTAGCCAGTGTAGGCGTGCGTACTGAGAAAGCAACCCCATGACACAACTGCGTCACAGCTGTGCACTAACAGATGTGCAATGTACTTGTACTCCATAATCGTGTATTGCTGGAACCCAACCCGCTCGTTGTGATACAAGAATTATTGATGATAACACTTTGAAAACTGTATTGTGTCTTTATAGACAGATCAACTTGCCCACGTACTGTGCACGGCCGATGCAATGGATCCGGAAATATCGTCATGCCACCACAAAGCGCAGTCATTAGTAATCTACACAAGCACTCTTCCTGCTAGCAACAGCTGCTTGCTGTTATGGAAAGACGCGTTTCTGTTGTTTGCAAGCATGTAGCTGCAATGTTTGCATTTCCAATACGTTGATCATGCTGGCAGTCTCCTGGTCTTACGCCAGCAATATGATTATCATGTTTTCATCGTCTATGTGCAAGCAGCTGATGGATAACACGGGACAGTGTCTTCCATAGCGCCTTACGGTCACACATTCACAACCATACAGTCTCTGGCATTATAAGAATGTCGGAGAGGACATACAAAGAATAATAATAACAATCAGATCAGCGAAGCATGCTTCTCTCGAGCCTCATCACCAGGCTTCTAACCATTGCACTTCGCTGAAGTACAATACGCTTACTTAGTATGGGCTTGAACTCGCGTACAGAAAGCATTCCAAAAGCTGCAGCTGCCCAGTAGTGGTTGGCATAAGCAAGAATAGCAGTGCACCAGGGGAAGAGGAAGGTTGCGTCCCAACTGACCTCGAGTGGCCATGCCTGTCCGTGGGCCTCCAAAGACAATACGGGACGACAACAGCTCACTGACGATTCCAAAACGAATTCTCAACGTTAGGAGTCTGAGCTTGCATTCCCCTCGTTCCAGCACTGGGCATACACCCACCTTGGTGTACAGGGAAAGAGTGCGGGACAGTGGATACTCATCAGCCAGGCAACGGATGCAGCGTTTGTCTATTTTTGGCTACTCTGTTCCGCTGCTAAGCTGACAGTCCTGGGAGAAACGCATTCGACTCAAATAGAATGTCCGATATTATAAGGGCAGAGTAATACAGCAGAGGCTGCCACACCGTTGGGCAGTGGCGGATCTGGCGGCAGATCTGGCGGATGATCTGCACCTTCATAGCCGTGCGTCGCATGATAGAGGTTTTTTATTTTTTTTTATACGAAAGTCCACTATATTCCCGAATATGTGCGAGAAGTGGTGGCGGGGCCAGGCTGCTCTGCCGACCTCAAAGGTCTCGGCGTCTACGCAGACAAAGCGCGCCATAATTCAGTAAAACCATGTAGAGAGGAGGAAGAGGGGAAATGAATAATAGTGAGAAACAAGGACAATGGGTAGATGGTCGTGAGAGAAGCAGAGTGAAAGATAACGTCACATTGTGGTAAGGGGGGGGGGGAGGATGCTAGTGAGGCACTGGTCTAAACCGAAAAAAAAAAAGAAAAAAAAAAAGGTGAGTTGCGGTAACCAGCGGAGGTTTTCGTCTTGGGTGGCTCCGAGGTAGGGAGCAGTACTTGTCTGGGCAAGAGGCGTGTCAGTGCAAGTAATATGCTGGTCAAGGTGTGCCTGCCGTCCAGCTCTGACTGCAAGCACTTGCGTCTTTCCCGTGTTGAGGCGTTCATACGTTCCTGCAGTAGGCTGCATTAGTATGAGTCTGCATGACCATTCTACAAAATGCCAATGCCGTTCATGCACATGCCGAATCGCTCCTTTACAGTGACACTCAATCACTAAAAAATATTTTTCTTCTTCAGCACCAATGAGTCGTAGGTATTTTACGACTACCTGCGCAGTACAGACGGCCACGCGTGCACCCCAATCTGACTCTACCAGTGTACAATTACATGTATTGTAGCTGCCCATAATTATGGCCTCTTCCATACCCATTTAAAAAGCATGGCATAGGAACACAATCACCAATCACAGCACAGGGAGAACACAGCGTATAGTATTCAGATAATTCTGGTCTCCTCACGCTATCCACAATGCCGTATAACACTGGCCAGGCCGATAGACTAGCACAGTGCTGAGTGCGGTTTTCAGGTAGTTGCGCAAACTGAATGCATGCATGCGATTTGACGTACATGTATACCGGTATGTATTATAACACTCATGATCATTGACAAGTCCACGGTGTCTGTCAGTGTGTCAGGCTTTCCACTCAAGATTCCAACTCTGGAACACACCATCAGTGGCATCACTGCTGCGTCTCTGTGCAGCTCCTCCTGCTCATTATTTTGTCACGTTTGCCCTAGTCTCCATGCCAATGTCATTCAAAAAACACACACGCATGTACGTGTACCTGTATGTCAGGTGCAACAGCTCCTGAAGAAATATTCGCTCAACACAACAAACCCCACATATTCATAAGTACATATATTATGAACTATTCCTGCCAGTGGCAGCTGCTTGCGGTTGGTGCAGATACACGATTCCTGTTGGCGCGTGGCTTTGCCGTTGGAATCCTGCTTCCAATTATGTTGATCGTGCAGGGCGTCTCCTGGCCCAACGCCAGCAATGTCTTGTTTTCACCGTGGATGCATACGTGGATGTGCGAGCAGCCGGTGTATAACACGGGCCAGTGTCTCCGACAGTGCCTTGGGTTGGCACAGTCACAATCACACCGTCTCTAGCTTTAGAAGAACGTCGGAAAGGACATGAAATTCAGCATTTCAGATTATCCAGCCAGACGGGAAGGGTGAGAAAGAAGCACACATGAACACATTGGTGTAAATGTTCGTAGCCTTTGTGAGTGCTGAGCAACGGAATAAGGACGATAACATTCTAGACATCCGTGGAATCTGCGGCAATGATGACTCTGCAAGTATCCCGACTTGTACTTGTGGGGATTATGATCACGATGACGACTGTGTGCGTGCCTGGCACTAATGCGGACGATGTGGATCGAGAGCTGGCGAATGAATTCGAGGCAGACGACAATGCTGAAGACGCGCAATATGAGAACGTCGATGTGGATGATGATGAAGAGGAAATGGTCGTTAACAGGCTCGTCGAGGCAATACGGGAGCACACACGACAGCGTCAAAATCGAATTAATGTTTTGGAACCAGGCATATTCCGCCCCAAGCGCCCTACCAGAGCCTTGTGGAGACAAAAGTGGGGTCCAAGGGGCCGCCTCGGCGGAGGCGGTATGGGCGTTAGTAAATAAGGAACGAAGTGAATGGACTACAATAGTCACCATCCGGCTTTGAAATCACCATGGAAACGTGATGTTCATTCGCGAATCCTTCGAGCCAGAGAAGCCCGTATGACATTACAAAAATTATTCCTTTAGCTATGCAATCCGTTTTGCCATCCTGTCTGCACTGATCCACCACTCCAATCTGATAATTTTGTTTTCTAGAATGCACAATGACTGTGAGTCCTATTGCTGTTATAACTCTCTATTTGCTGAGACCCTAAATGCTAGGATGACCATTTATACATCATGTAGATGAAGATGACGATTGTTGCAGAGTTTTAACTCTGGCGATGGTCCTCTTTGATTTTTTTGCTATTATTGATTTTCTCGTTCTGGAAATCCGTAGCATTGCCAAAATACTGAAGTAGGTGTAACAGTATAGACTTGATTGATTGGAGAATTCGTCGAATGATGTTCAAACCAGAGGTTATAAAGCAAAAGAAAGGTGAGAAACACAGGAGTGAGAATAGTAGGAACACAAGGTGTTACCATAAGACAAGCAAGAAGTGTCAAGGTAAAACTATTACACTCTCCCGGCCCCATAGGAAGCCCAAGGTTCTATTAGATAACACAATCCAGTTAGGAGATGCAATTGTGGAAAGGGGAATATTAAATAATCACTCATGCACATGCATAACCACATTGAAGTGTAATCCAACTCAACTTCATCACTCTCACAAGGAGATGACGCAAAACTATATCAGTCTATAACATAATTATTAACTATCTCAGTAAGAGATGCATATGGCTCAGCCCAGTTAGATCAAGGCTGCTGTCGTTGTGAGGCTAGATAGTTCTGCAGCGGTTTAATATTCCGACCAGACTCATCACATAGGTTGCCAGCGGGCTCCCACGTAGCTTCGCTGCTGGGGTAACCCTTCCAATGCACCAGGAAGTGTTGCTCACCACTGCGGTGTCGGTGATTCAAAACGGCTTCGACAACATAGCGTGTGTGTCCATCTAGATCTGTGAAGGGCGGAGGCGGGGGTTGGTGTCTTCCAGGAATCGTGTTCTCTTCGTAGCGTTTAAGAGCAGTGACATTAAACACGGGATGGCAGCGAAGTTCACGGGGCAGTTCAAAGCGAAAAGCATTCGCTCCAATCTTAGCCTGGATACGATACGGACCAAACCACTTGGGTTGCAACTTCCGAGAGGGCTGGCCACGAGCTTCCGGGGTCAGTAGAAAGTCTCTGTAGACAAGAACGCTATCACCAACCTTCAAATCACTGGGCGTTCTCGTCTGGTCTGCGTATAGAGCTTGCCTTGCCTGGGCGTCGAGCATAGCATCTCGAGCTATCCTTAGTGCGGCTTCCTGCTCATGAAGCCAATCGACCGAATCACTCCTTTCCCCTCCCGTAAGAATGAATTCGGGCGGGGACTTAGGGTCAAACCCATAGTTTAGATAGAACGGTGTATTAGCTACAGATGACTGTTGTGAACTATTTATTGCAAACTCGCAGAGTGGTAGAAGCGAATCCCAATTGTCCTGTCTCAAGTTCACAAATGCTCTTAGAACATCTCCCACTTGCCGGTTAACTCTCTCTGTCAAACCATCCGTTTGAGGGTGGTTAGCAGTGCTGAATGCCAATTTAGTTCCTAGCTGAGAGAATACTTCTTTGAAAAAAGCTGCAGTGAATCGTGGATCGCGATCGGAAACAATGGTTGAGCTCAGCCCGTGCAGACGAAACACGTTTTGAATGTACAGTTGAGCGCTGCCCTTAGCATCAATCTTCGAGTTTGTTGGAACAAGATGTACGCATTTCGTAAGTCGGTCCACAAAGGTGTAAATTGCGTCGAAGCCACGAGAAGTAAGGGGCAATCCAACAATAAAATCCATTGAGATATCCTGCCAAGGACTATTAGGTATTGAAAGTGACTGGAGAAGCCCTGTTCGTGGCTGACCTCCCTTCGTTCGCTGGCAGAGATCACAGGTTTTGACAAATCTCTTGATATCGAGACCCATTCGGGGCCAGTAGAAAAAACGTGCTAGGCGGAAGTACGTTCGATCACGACCCGGGTGGCCAGCCGTTGCACACTCATGGTGTTCTTGAATGAGCTTTAACCAGACACCGCACTGTGGTATGCACAACCGGTTATTGGGGGATGCCTTGAGGTACAAGCGATCAGTGGATTCGTCCCAATAATAGCGATCATGCAAATTATCTCGGAGAGAATGCTTCAATCTTTCTATGATGGGAGTTAGCTCTTTGTCTCTCTGGTAGGCATCTGATATTGTATTGGACACGTCATCATTCATTGCTAAAGCATACTCAATAGCATTCAAACGTGGTACTGCATTCTCCACGAGGTTACTCTCATGGAGATCTGGGCGACGCGAAAGGGGATCTGCAGGGTTCTCTCTGCCGGGTCTGTGACGGACTGTGTAGTTATAGTCAGCTAGGAATTCAACCCATCGCGCCTCTCTCTTTGTAATGCTTGGTTTTGTTTTCAGATAAACTACCGCCATGTTGTCTGTAATGACCTCAAAGTGTTGAAAGAGGTAGATGCGCCAGGTCTTTAGCGCAAACACTACGGCCAATGTTTCTCTTTCTGTAGCTGTATAATTCTGTTCCGCAGCAGACAATTTTCGGCTAGCATAAGCCACTGGATGCCAGGCATCTTCCTCTAGTTCTTGGAGAAGAACACATCCCAAGGCGAAATCGCTTGCATCTGTTACCACTCTGAATGGTCGGTTCACATCAGCCAGCCGCAATAGGGGCGCATTCAACAAGGCATGCTTTAGCGATTCAAAGGCATGTTGCCGAGAGCTGTTCCACTCGAATCGTGCATGTTTTCCCGTTATCTCCTCTAAGTTCTTAGAGAGCGATGAGTATTGATCTATGAATCGCCTAAAATAATTCGTAAATCCAAGAAATTGCCTCACCTCTGTGACGGAAGTCGGAGCGGGCCAGACCTTTACTGCGGCAATCTTGTCTGGGTCAGGGGCGATGTGCAGTCCATCGATGCAATGTCCCAGGAACCGCACACTCTCCACGCCAAATTCACATTTTGACCGTTTGCAAAATAACTGGTTGTCCCGGAGCACGCTCAATACCGACCGGACATGCTGCATATGCTCCGACCACGTTTTGCTGAAGATGAGTATGTCATCTAGGAACACGACTACGAACTCCCTCAGATATGGTTGAAGAATCGTATTCATCATGGATTGAAATGTTGCCGGTGCATTGGTGAGACCAAATCCCATGACCCTGAAGATTCCAACCATGGAACACACCATCACTGCTGCGTCTCTGTGCAACTCCGCCTGTTCATTATTTTGTCACGTTTGTCCTAGTCTCCATGCCAATGTCATTCAAAAAAGCACACACGCATGTACCTGTATGTCAGGTGCAACAGCTCCTGAAGAAAATTAATATTCGCTCGCCACAACAGATACCACATATTCATAAGTATTGTATTATGAACTATTCCTGCCAGTGGCAGCTGCTTGCGGTTGGTGCAGATACACGATTCCTTGTGGCGCGTGGCTTTGCCGTTAGAATCCTGCTTCCAATATGTTGATCGTGCAGGGCGTCTCCTGGCCCAACGCCAGCAATATCTTGTTTTCACCGTGGATGCATACGTGGATGTGCGAGCAGCCGGTGTATAACACGGGCCAGTGTCTCCGACAGTGCCTTGGGCTGGCACAGTCACAACCACACCGTCTTTAGCTTTAGAAGAACCTCAGAAAGGACATGAAATTCAGCATTTCAGATTATCCAGCCAGACGGGTAGGGTGAGAAAGAGGCGCACATGAACACATTGGTGTAAATGTTCGTAGCCTTTGTGAGTGCTGAGCATCGGAATAAGGACGATAACATTCTGGACATCCGTGGAATCTGCGGCAATGATGACTTTGCAAGTATCCCGACTTGTACTCGTGGGTATTATGATCACGATGACCACTGTGTACGTGCCTGGCACTAATGCGGACGATGTGGATCGAGAGCTGGCGAATGAATTCGAGGCAGACGACAATGCTGAAGACGCACAATATGAGAACGTCGATGTGGATGATGATGAAGAGGAAATGGTCGTTAACAGGCTCGTCGAGGCAATACGGGAGCACACACGACAGCGTCAAAAACGAATTAATGTTTTGGAACCAGGCATATTCCGCCCCAAGCGCCCTACCAGAGCCTTGTGGAGACAAAAGTGGGGCCCAAGGGGCCGAGGCGGTATGGGCGTTAGTAAATAAGGAACGAATTGAATGGACTATAATAGTCACCAACCGGCTTTGAAATCACCATGGAGACGTGATGTTCATTCGTGAATCCTTCGAGTCCGAGAAGCCCGTGTGGCCAGAGAAGCCCGTACTTGTGTGACATTACAAAAATTATCCCTTTAGCTATGCAATCCGTTTTGCCTTACTGTCTGCACTGATCCACCACTCCAATCTGATAATTTTGTTTTTCTAGAATGCACAAT